CTCAGGATCTCCTTGACGTTGGATGCTGTCACCGTCAGCGTCGATGTGTACGCAAACTCCAGAATGGCCGTCAGCGATTCCGGCGCCACGAAGTCCAGCTCATAGATGGTGTGCTGGCTGGAGTCCTGGCTGGAGCCGGTGGCCACCGTGAAGAGCTTTTTGAAGTACTGGCTGCAGGCAGCCAGGACGGAGCGATGGGTGCGGTGCTCCTGGTCCTGGACCACTAGGATGACGTCGCAAAGCAGCCCGTCCCGCCGCTGCTCATTAAGACTGCACAGGACGTCATTGCTGTGGTTCGGGAAGGGGATTCCGATCAGGTCCTCGTCTGTGTGCGCCATCCTCTCCGAGGAGTCTGTGTACAGGTAAAAAAAAAAAGTGAAATCAGAGCTGTCATGCATTAAAATAAGGCTGTGCGCTAAAGAGATATTTATCAAAAACATGGATGAAGTTGCTAGAGGCTAAATGCTAAAGCGTCTGTTAAATGAATAAATGTAATTGTAAATGAAAAAAAGAATTCCACAATATTAGGAATAAACTTTTGAGTATTTTAAGTAAAATATTTAGCCTACATCTAGACGTTCATCTAGCTCTTTACTACAAACTGGTAAAATAAAAGTTCTGTTTAACAGAAATGCGTACAGTGGGGGAAAAAAAGTATTTAGTCAGCCACCAATTGTGCAAGTTCTCCCACTTAAAAAGATGAGAGAGGCCTGTAATTTTCATCATAGGTATACCTCAACTATGAGAGACAAAATGAGAAAGAAAAATCACATTGTAGGATTTTTAAAGAATTTATTTGCAAATTATGGTGGAAAATAAGTATTTGGTCAATAACAATTTCATCTCAATACTTTGTTATATACCCTTTGTTGGCAATGACAGAGGTCAAACGTTTTCTGTAAGTCTTCACAGCCCCACTGTATGTTGTTGTTGTATTGTAAAATGTTTACTGAAAAAACAAAGAAACAGCAAGTGACACATTAAATTAAATGTGAAAATTTTAAGAAAGACATTTAATAATTATAATAATAATAATTTATAAAATGTATATTCTTGTAAAACATACTCCAGTTATATTTGTATAATTTACAACTTTGAAAAATCAGTTTTTACAGTATACTTCTCCTGTTATTAATATTATTTTTATTTAGGAAATATCATGCAACCAAGATATTTTTTTTCATTCATGATTTAAAGGTTCTGTTGTTCTGCACTTTAACAACAACAACAAAAAAAGTTTTTTGTAAATTAATCATATTTTCATTTGATTTCATGTTAAAGGATTGGTTCAATTAATTTAATTAGACACCAATTGTTTTCAGGTTTTATTTCTTGTACATTGTTTCTCTTTATTCTCTATAATATTGAGCTCAGCACTTACCAATCAACATTTTAATGTCCCTTCCACTGTTGCTAGGTGACGGTTGCAATTATTACAGTAAGAACATATAGTCCACTAACAAGGAACGTATATTTTAAATTAAGATCATTGTTCATCAAACAATGTTCATGTTTCATAACACATGAAATAAATGTAAATTGAAGTTAAATAAAATCTTAAGAAACATAACGTCAGCTAGTTGCCAAAGCAACATTTCTCATTTTAAATTAGAATAACTTGATGTATTAAAATAACTAAAACAAAAATGAATAATTAAAAAAAAAACTATATATATATATATATATATATATATAAATATAAAAACTTTTAAAAACTACTAAAAGTGTAGTTAAATACAGAAGTTTAACTAAAATGATAACAGAAAATATAGAAATAAAAATCCAAAATTCATACTGTCATACTATAATACTGTCTCAATAATACCAAACATTTATATCCGTGACATTTTATTCTTTTTTGATTGTGTGTAAATAACACAAACACTTTAATTGCAAACTTTCTGTGGGGAAAAAGAAAAGAGGAAGTGGGAAGGATGAGATCTCATGTCCCCAGAAGTTCCCTGACAGGTTGGGCAAAACTAAAAAATTTTTTTTTAAATTGTTGCCCCACCCTGGAAAATCCAGCCAAGTTAAATAGGCGTTCGGAGCTAAAAACAACACTAGGGAGGGAGGGAAAAAGAAGGAAGAGAGACACAGTGAGGTCTCCCACCCACCCTGGGAGCGCATGCGTTTCTCTGGCCGGCCCCCACAGCTCCTCACTCAATCCCATAATTACAGTGTGTGTTTGAGGGCCGACTGGCCCCTCCGCACTCGCTTAACACTGAATAACTCCTCCAAACCTTGACAGTTTACTCCCTCCATATGACGCAGTCTACATGCAGACACACCATGGACTTCTGCTGCCTATGTATAAAGCTAATTATTAAAACTACATATTGATCTACCTGTAAATCTATAAGAAATCCTTTTGCGTTTTTCATGTCAGATTTTTTTTGTATAACTACCTGCAGCTTTTCTTTGATTTCTGTTGTTTTTATATTGACCTTAACACACTGCAAAAAATAATTTGCTTGACTTTTTTTGGTCTTGTTTTCCACTGCAAATAAATGTGTGTGTATATATATATATATATATATATATATATAAAAAAACAAGATACATTTACTTGAGATGCAAAATAACTTAAGATATTAAGTTGTTTTCTTAAAAAAAAAAAAAAAAGAATCAAAATGAAGTGTTTATGCTTAAAAATATCTGTTAATGAGGTCAGAAAAATAATCTTGTTTTCCTTAGAATTAAGTGTATTTTTCTGATCCCATTGACAGATATTTGTTCTTGTTTTAAGCATAAACACTGTTTTGATCATTTTTCAGAAAACTAGAGTTCATATCTAAAGTCATTTTGACTTTCTTAATATTTTTGTCTTGTTTTACAGTACAAATATCTACAGATTCTTAAATCAAGATACATTTACTTGAGAAGGTAAATGACTTAAGATTTACCTTAGTTAATGAAGTCTTATTTTCTGGAGAAAAAAAAAAGATTAAAACAAGAATAATCTCTGTCAGTGGGGTTAGAAAAAGAATCTTGTTTTCCCTTTGAAGGCAAATTAAGCATAAACTCATTTCAATTTGTACTGCAAACAAGACAGAAACAAGATAGTTTTTCTTGTTTTATGCACAAACTCACTTAATTTTTATCATTTTTTAGAAAACTACTTAATATCTTAAAGGGGTCATATGATGCGATTTCAATATTTCCTTTCTCTTTGGAGTGTTACAACTCTTGGTTCATAAAGAAGATCTGTAAAGTTGCAAAGACTAAAGTCTCAAATCCAAAGAGATATTCTATATAAAAAAAATTAACTTAAATGATTTTAGCAAATGGCTGCAATATAACAAAGAGTGAAAAATTTAAGGGGGTCTGAATACTTTCCGTACCCACTGTATATATATATTAAAAAAATTCTACATTTTGTTTTGTTCAGTACATTTCCTTCCCTTTTTCAAAGCATGTTTGGAGCGTTTGAACAATAATAATAATAATAAAAAAAAATAATTATATATATATATATATATATATATATATATATATATACAATTTAAAAAAATTGCTTACATTTTTTTTAAGAAAAAATGGTTAATAAAAATAAGCGTTTTCAGATGCTTATCAGATGCAGTTCGATGTATGCCAAATCATCATAAACTGTATCAAATCTCCTATTTTAGGTTAAAAGATGATCTAAAAATGATGCTCAGCGTTTGTTCTGGTGTCTGTCTTAATCTACAGTTTGTGGAAAGAGGTGAAGAAAATACCCTCTTTAGCCCCACAAAGTGCCACACACTCATTTCAGCACAGAGACACGTTTGTCATCTGAAAAAAGAAAATGCATGCATGTGCATATCAGTGTTTCCTGCACTGCTATTCAGGAGCAGCACTGCAAACAAAAAGTTAGCTAATGGTTTTGCTTTGATATTGCGTCGCCCTCGTTGTCAGCATGCAAAAATTAACACGCAGTGAGCATGTTTTGATTCACAAACTCGCTCGGCTCGGTTCACTTTAATGAATCATTTGAATCAAACTTGTGAATCAGGCTGAATTGAGCAGATTTCAGAAATGAATGCATGCGGTGTGATTTTGTGTCCTCAATAATAACCTTTTTTCCTATTTTCTTCTTTGCATGTTCATACATTACTAATTCTGAGTTCAACATCAATCATAATGTGTCATATCTCAAAACACAAATGACACTGTGAGTAAAAACCCAAACTACCCCCCTCAGTCCTTTGATCATTCAAAATAACACACCTGTGTTTGATGCTTGAACTAAATGCGTACACACATGCAAGCTTTGATGAACATCCTAACTGGGACAAAGACTTTAAGGCTTAACAATTAATAGTGATTGTTTGTTAATGTAAAGTCAGTGCATACTAACTCTGTATTTTGCAGGTTTAATGCATGCATTTGGTGCACGACGGATGCCTCGTCTGACTTTGTGATGCAAAGATGACCAACTCTTGATAGGGTAAAGTTACAACATCCTCTCTAAAAGTTAAAACGGTTCACATTTGTGAGAGATATTTCATCATGGCCTCTTTAGGGAGGCAGGGCTCGAGTCTCAGACAGGAGTGAGCACGTGTCACGCTGCTTAGACTCACGGCGACTCAGACTGCTGCTAAATTGGCTAAATCCAGCTATGGTTCGTGGGTCCTGAGGGAGATCATTTAGGGGCCTCACCTGCAGGGGCACCTGTAGGTTTTAGTCTATTAGTGCTTCGCAGAGACTCATGGCCCTGTTTACAGACAGAAGTGCCTCCCGCCCGTATGCTCGAACGATGGTGCAGCAGTCAGCCAATAGAAAGCTGTGGATTTGAATATGATTCGTCTCGGTCCTGTAGATGATGAACGCTCTGCATGTTTAGAGTTTAGAATTTTTCATACATGCACGTATTGTTTCGACAGTCTGGATGATAAATGTTGAGGTTCTGCCAGCAGATTTAAACATTTGTATTAAATAGTAACAAAAGTTTTGAATTGAAATATTGCTATTTGGTAGCTGGAGTGATAGAAAGCAGTTTTAACAATTAGATTTTTCAGATTTTTTTGTTTCAAAATGTTTTTTTTTTAAATGTTTCAACATTGTGTATCTATTTACGTGTGTGTGTATGTATATATGTGTATATATATATATATATGTGTGTATGTGTGCACTGTATATTATCTATTTTATCTATCTATATATATAATGAATAATTTATAATATTTTATGTGTGTGTGTGTGTGAATAAATAAGTGTGTGTGTGTGTATATATATATATATATGTATGTGTGTGTGTGTAACTTTTTATATATGTCCAAGTTACTTGTCAAGCACTCTTAATACAAATTGAGGACAGACCTCAGACTTAAACCGGGACCTTGTTCAGTAGAGTTAAAGAAAACATAATAAAGTGCGGCATGAAGGTTTGGCCTCGTGTCTTGGCCGGAGTTCATTTAGAGTTCTGCTGTATATTTGAGCTGCTTTTCACCCATAGACTGATTCACCCAGCAACAGATCAGAACAAACGTAAATGACACTTAAAGAGCCTTGTTAGAATTACACACAACCATTGTGTAACGTCTGCTGTAATTCATCTGTTTGGTAAATATATAAAGCAAGACGGTACAGACACCTGCATCACGCGCTTCAGCTGCTACAAACAGTAATTTACACTGTTTTTAATCTGCGTTCAGCCCTCTTCAAACAGACGCACGCACACACGCGCACACAGGCACACACACATTCACCTGTCACCTTATGACACCCTTTTAAATCATATGAATAATGTAATGACTGTCTAAACTTCAGTAATTCTAATTAATTTAGATAAAGTAAGGCGACGTTCCCATCACAGTTGTGACACAGATCTGTTTTAGATGATATGAACAGCAAAAATCACTGTCTGACATTTTCATATCTGATCTGGGCCACTTTTGTGTGGAAATAAATCTGATACATATCTGCAACGTGACATCAATTTGGATTTTTTTTTAAACTTCCAACCCAAAATTGATCATAATCGATTTACTCTTTGCATAAATCATACTTTATACATAACACTATATTAAATTTAACAGATAGATGCCATTTATCTATTTTAGCTATTTATATCTATATATAATTTATTTAAAATCTATATAATTTTAATTAAATCGAATATATATAATTTAATGTGTGTGTGTGTGTGTGTATATATATATATATATATATATATATATATAATATTTGACACTTACATTAAACAATCACAAGTAGCCGTTAAAATGTTCCTAAATTATATATGTCCATAAATGAACACCCAATTCTTCTAATTTCATATAACATAAAAATGTGATGTATTTAGCATTTGTTAAGATGACTGTGACTATGTGGGTCAGTCGCCTGTTCAGTGGGCCGCATTGAAAAGGTCATGAGAACAGCCTCTCAAAAAATGAACTGGCACTTGCAGTGTGTAAGCATCAAATTGTTTTTTTTAGAAACTCTTTTGATAACTTTGCTTTGCTTTCACACACATCAGAACCAGCGGTGTCTGGTGTAATTGTCGATTTGCTGTGTCATTACTAGTTTGTGTTAGTTTGCGTTTACAGCGGGCCAAAACTCCACACACTCATTTTCTGGAGACGACATCTAAAGAATGGCCCAAATAATTACATGAGTCATCAAATTACTGCCCACAGACATGCTGTTCTATACCTGAGATGCACACAAACAAACAAACATAAACAGACCTCGGACTCAAACACTGTGCGTATTCTGACTCAAACGCGCACTTCCCCGCATGCACAACTCTTGAAAACAGGTGAACTGGGCTGCATCGCACTCACCCGTTTAGATGCTCAGGTGTGTGTTACTGTACGTGTGATTTATTCCAGGTCTAAGTGTCGTTTCAGATCCGAGCCTGTCTCATCTCCGTCTCTGAGGGACGAGAAGATGTCTGTCCATCCCTTCTGCCCGAGCGTCTCCTCTCCATTCACAAAAAACACAGCCGTGCATCCAACTACAAGCCCAAAACAACAGCACAGGCGGACAGACGAAGAGGTTTGTGTGGACTCTGACAGGAAGGAGGAGAGAGAAAGAGAGAGCGAGAGAGAGAGGAGGTGGATCTACTCTAGAGCAGCGATGTAGTTTTTATAGCTGGGTGGGAAGCTCAGGATAATAATACCCATCCTCCTCCACAACACAGTTTAAGCTCAGTATGTAATAAAGCCCATGGTGCACAAACCCTCTGATTTGGGGTCAGACAAAATGAATTTTTAGTTTTATTCGTGAAGGATTTGCAACTCGAACTTGGGCACAAATGAAGGAAGAAAGAGAAAAGTACCAGTTCTATATATGCATGTGCTGTGACTTCAGAAGATGAATTAGACGAAAGAACAAGGTGGAAAACCTGAAGTTCAGATTTTAGTGTAGAAACCAGTCAGTTTCACAATTAACTACACAGTAACTGCAAGTGACACATTGAATTAAACATGAAATATTGAAGTAGATTTGACAAGTTTTCTTGTAAAACGTGCTTAAATAATCTCCATTAATTAAATATATATATATATATATATGTGTGTGTGTGTGTGTATATTATAGTGTACTATTCTTGCTTGATACTTACAGTATATGGTATACAATTTTTTTTAAACCTATTTTGACATGATTTCAATGCATTTAAATCAGTTTGTGGCATCCAGTTGGCATATTGATATTGGCATATATATATATATATATGTAGTTGAAATATTATATAAGTTGAAATACTAAAATAACGAAAACTTAATAACAACTAAACATAAACTAATAAATGACAAACACCACAAACTTACTGAATCTTTCACTAAAATGCAAACAGAAAATATACAAATAAAATCAAATTCAAAATATTAACAAAAACTATAATAGTACATCAGTGATACTAAAATAACACTGCAGTGCACAAGTATGTATGCAGTAACTGCAAGTGACACATTGAATTAAACATGAAATATTGAAGTAGATTTGACAAATTTTCTTGTAAAACATGCTTAAATAATCTCCATTAATTAAATATATATATATATATATATGTGTGTGTGTGTGTGTGTGTATTATAGTGTACTATTCTTGCTTGATACTTACAGTATATGGTATACAATTTTTTTTAAACCTATTTTGACATGATTTCAATGCATTTAAATCAGTTTGTGGCATCCAGTTGGCATATTGATATTGGCATATATATATATATATATGTAGTTGAAATATTATATAAGTTGAAATACTAAAATAACGAAAACTTAATAACAACTAAACATAAACTAATAAATGACAAACACCACAAACTTACTGAATCTTTCACTAAAATGCAAACAGAAAATATACAAATAAAATCAAATTCAAAATATTAACAAAAACTATAATAGTACATCAGTGATACTAAAATAACACTGCAGTGCACAAGTATGTATGCCACATAATGCCGTATTAGAAAGAGTAGTATGCAGTATGTATATACTATTTGCATTGTTTCTTATGTGGCACACAGTACATATTTGCTGCTTATATTTTGCATTTGTGTCAATTTAATTAAATGATATTTTATATAATGCCGGAATCGAGACATTATGATTTTCTAGTTAATTAGAAGTTGGTTGTTTTATGCATGCGGTTTGACCCATATTGCAGCTCAGACAGCGTGTTCCTCAACAGGGCTGTTCAATTTCCCTTCGTTGAAACTGAAACCAGAGGTTGACGGCTAATCAGTTAGTTAACTTGTAAGCTTATACTCAGAGTTGTGTGAAGACTACATTCGTTCATCCAACTCCCACTTTTTATTTACTCTCATTTAATGTGGTAAAAGGGAAAGATGATAGATTATGGTTTATCTACATATTCATCTGTAGCAGGTGCATTAAAATTGTATATGTGTTTAATGCACCTGCAACAGATGAATAGAAAACCTCAATAAACAATAAATAGGGTATGAATACAGGTAAATTGGGACACTTTTTTTAAAAATCCTAAATTATCCTGAATATAATTTTTTTTAAATTTGTATTTTAATATAAATAATATATTATACATTAGCATATAATAATTTTAACAATGAAATGTTAATATTTAATAATGTAATATTTAATAATAGAAATTTATATTCATATATATAACATAAATGTCTTGAAAATGCTGTCAAAGTCATAAAAGCTAATAATTAAAGCTCAGTTATGAAAGTAATTATATCTAGGTGAAGCTAAATCATTTTCATACTCTTAAAAAAAGAACCAGAAGGATGCAATCAAAACAAAAGAGTGCTTAATAATTTTTTAGCTTAAAAAATAGTGATTTGACTCCACTGACAGCGCCATAGTTTTAGAAACAAAACATTTTCCCACCTTTTAGCTGATTCTGCAAGTCAAAGCTTCCATTTATCATGCATTTATCCTCCTTATGAATGTATATTATCTTTCTTTTTTTTAAAGCTGGACACGATATCGGGAAGATGGAAGTCTCATCCTGTACTACACTCTCAACTGATTAACGGTCTGTCTTGCACTTCTCAATATGTTTGATTTATTTTTGTATTTTACAGGTTTCTTTAAATGAGACCGTTTTATTTTAATAGTACCATTAAAAGTCTCTGATTTGCCACTTGTGTTCAGTCAAACATGAAGTAAAAGTTCAAATCGATGTGAAATTTAAATTTTGTTTGGGTTGTGATGATCAAATATTTTTCAAATCGTGTCACAATCAAAATCCAAAAGTTCAATCAGCCAATCAGTTCACTGCATTTCTGTAAGCCAAAAATGGCTTTTTACTGACTGAGGTACTATTTCCACAAATACAGCTTGTCTTTGTGTGAAAAGAGAAAGAGGGAGTGTGTTTCCTTAAAATCTATTGTTTCAAAATCCATAGAACTATTACAGTCTCTCTTTCTCGCACTGTGACATTTTCCCACTGTATCTGTCTCTTTAAATCATGACTCGACACTTTAACACGGACAGGATTTCCTAAATGACATCAAGAATCCACCTAGTTATGTAATTTATGACAGATTCATGGTGACCTGCATTTCAGTTACTTAATACCAAAGCCAGCGTT